GTCCGCACCTGGGAACTGAACCCAGGCTGCTGAAACAGAGCACACTGAACTTAATCACTAGGCCACAGGGGCTGACCCTCTCATTGTCTTTTTTAGCTCGAAGTCTGCTTTGTCTGATGTAAGTATGGCAACACCTTTCTTTTGCTTGCCATTTGCTTGGAGTATCATCTTCTATCCCTTCACTCTGAGCCTATGTTTATCTTTAGAGCTGAGATGTGTTTCCTGGAGGCAGCATATTGTTAGGTCTCATTTTTTAATCCATCCAGCTACTCTGTGTCTCTTGATTGGAGAATTCAATCCATTTACATTGAGAGTGATTATCCATATGTGAGGGCTTAATACTGCCATTTTATCACTTGTTTTCTGGGTTTTCTATATTTTCATTGTTTCTTTTCCCTTTATTTCTGACTGCCAACTCAGTTTGTTGGTTTTCTGTGATGGTTTTCTCAGTTTTCTCTTTATTTATAATTTGTGGCTTTGCTCTGATTTTTTGTTTAGTGATTACCATGAGGTTTGTATAAAAGATCTCATAGATGCATTGTCTTATTTTTTGCTTCACATATGTTGATGGTCTGCCATTGTTTTATCTTCTTGCTGTATTGAACCTGTTATTAATATATAATGTTTTTCTTTGTGTCTTGTAACCTTTTTGATTTAAAATCTATTTTGTCTGACATTACTATACCCATTCTTGGTCTCTTTTGGTTACTATTTGCATGGAATATTTTTTTCTATTCTTTCACTTTGAACCTGTTTGTGTTGTTGGATCTAAGGGAATCTCTTGTAGACAGCAGATAGAGTTGGGTTATGTGTTTTGATTCATTCTGCCAATTTCTGTCTTTTGATTGGAGAGTTTAATCCACTTATGTTTAAAGTAATTGCTGATAAAGAGGGACTTCTATCATTGTGCTATTTGTTTTCTGTATGCTCTGTAGCTATTTTTTGTCCCTCATTTCCTGCATTACTGTCTTATTTTGTGTTTAGTCCATTTTTTTGTAGTGAAATATTTAAAGTCCTTTTAAATTTACTTTTGTGTATATTGTATAGCTATTTTCTCTGTGGTTACCATGGGGATTACATTTAACATCCTAACATTATAACACTCTCATTTGAATTTAAAGCAGTTAACTTCAATAACATACAAAAAGTCTGCTCTTTTACAGCTCTGTCCCCACCCTTTTCAGTTTTTGATGTTACATAATTATATCTTTCTACAGTGTGTGCCCAAAAACATAAATTAATAATTCTTTTAAATGCTTTAGTGTCTTAAATTATGTATGAAACAAGATTTGGAGTTACAATACTATCTTTTAGACTAATAATTGTGTTTTTTTCTTTTAAATATATCAGTCTCTTAAATCATACAGAAAAGAAAAAGTGCAGTTACAATTCATTGTTACAATAATACTAGCTTTTATAATTGCCCATGTATTTACCTTTATTGACATCTTTATTTCTGCATATGGCTTCAAGTTACTGTCTAGTTTCTAGTTTCCTTTCATTTCACTCTGAAGAAATTTCTTGAGCATTTCTTGCATGAAAAGTGTAACAGTAACAGCTTTTTGTTTATCTGGGAATATCTTAATTTCTTCCTCACTTTTGAAGGACAGTTTTGCCAGATATAGGATTCTTGGTTGACAGTTTTTTTTCTTCAAGCACTTTGAATATATCAGTCCACTGTCTTCTGGCCTCCAAAGCTTCTGATGAGACATCTGCTTGCAATCTTATTGAAGATCCTTCTATGTGATGTCACTTGTCTCCTGCTGCTTTCAAGATTCCCTCTTTGTCTTTGTCTTTTGAAAGTTTGATTCTAATCTGTCTCAGTGTGGGTCTCTTTGAGTTCAGTGAACTTGGGAGTTCCTTGAGCTTCTTGGATGTTTATATTCATGTCTTTCATAAAATCTAGGAAGTTTTCAGCCATTATTGCTTCAAATGTTCTCTCTACCCCTTTCTCTTTCTCTCTCCTTTCTCCTTCTGAGACTCCCACAATGTGTATGTTGGTGCACTTGATGATGCTCACAGATCCCTTAGGCTCTGTTCACTTTTATTCAATCTTTTTTCTCTCTCTTGCTCAGACTCAATAATTTCCATTTTCAAGTTCACTGATTCTTTCTTCTGCCTGTTCAAATTTGCCTTTGAATTCCTCTAGTGAATTTTTCATTTCAGTTATTGTACTTTTCAGCCTCAGAACTTCTTTTTGGTTTCTTTTTAAGTTTTCTGTGTCTATTGATATTTCCATTTTGTTCATACATCATTTTCTTCAGTTTCTCCACATCTTCCTTTAGTTCTTTGAGCGTCTTTGAGACAGCTGTTTTAAAGTCTTTGTCTTGTGTATCTACCATCAGATCTTTTTCAGGGACAGTTTCTATTGATATGTTTTCATTTGAATAATTCATACCTTCCTGTTTTTTTTGTATGCTTCATGATTTTTTGGTTGAAGACTCGACATTTGAATCTAATAATGTGGTAACTCTGGAAATCAGATTCTTCCCCTTCCCCAGTGATTGCTGTTTTTGCTTCTTGTTTATTGTTTTTCTTTTTCTGTCATAGGCTGTCTCTAGTCCACGGGTCAGCCTGAGGGGTAAATTTAAGGTCTTCTTAGGTCGTTTCTGAGCCTTTCCTGGGCACACATGGTCACTTCCTAACTTTCCTCTTATATGCAGTTGTTTTGAATGTTGTAGTGTTTAATGTCTAGCTCCCAAAGGGCAAAAAAAGGGAAAAATGAAGGCAGAGGAAGGCTGCCAGCCCCCTGGAAGTCCCTTCAGCTGGGGGAAGAGGGGCTGGAAACAATAAGGGCAGGCACAACAACAATGGCCTCTGCCTCTTTGTCTGCACCTCTGTGTTCAGAAGTAACAATCAGTGTGCAGAGCACAGCTCTCTGATGTTTGAAGGACAGCGTCATTCTTGCCCATCCTGGCTCCCACATGCTGTGTGTAAGCTGCTCCAGGAACAGATGCACAGCTGCTTGCCATGTGGCTGGGGTTTGGGGACAGGTAGCTGCCACTGTGCCAAGCACTGAAATTGACTGAAATTAACCATAATTTATCATCCAAGCCTCCCCTGGAAGTTGCAAGCCTTCAATAGACTTCAGAGTTCCAAAAAGGTTATGTTAGATTCTGCCAATATAGTTGTTGTGTAGGTGGGCAGACAGATTCCTCATGCTTCTGACTCCACCATCTTCCCAGAAGATGTAAAGTTGATCAAAAACCAATCGGCCATAAATGTAAGGGTTTGTTTCTGAACTCTGAATTCTATGTAATTCATTGACATCTCTCTCCTATCCCAGAACCACACAGTCCTGATTACTGTAGACTTGTAGTAAGTTGTGAAATTGCAACATGTGAGCCTCCAAGTTTGTTCCTTTTTAAGATTGTTTTAGATATTCTGATTCCCTTGAATATCCATGTGAATTTAAGTATCAGTTGTCTGTTCCTAAAAGAAAGGTAGCTGGGATTTTGGTAGAGATTGCATTGAACCTGTAGATCAATTTGGGGAATATTGCCACCTTAACAATATTAAATCTCCCAGCCCATGAGCATAGGATTTTTTTCTCTTCATTTAGGTCTTTAATTTCTTTCAATGATGTCTTGTAGTTTTCAGTGACAAGTCTTACACTTCTTTTGTTAAATTTATTCCTTATTAGTTTCTTCTTTTCGATGTTATTGTACATGGAGTTGTTTTCTTAATCTCATTTTTGGATTAGTCATTAATAATATTGAAAAATACAACTGACTATTATATATTGATCTTGAATTCCATAACCTTGTTGAACTCATTTATTAGCTATAATAGTTTGTGGAGTCTTTAGGGTTATGTGTGTGTGTGTGTGTGTATGTATATGTATATACATATATATATATATGGTCATGTCATCTACAAATAGACATAGTTTTACTTCTTCCTTTCCAATCTGAATGCTTTTTATTTATTTCTTTTTCTTGCCTAATTACCCTGGCTAGAACCTCCAGTACATCGTTGAATAGAAGTGGTGAAAATGGGCATCCTTGCTTTGTTCCTGATCTTAGAGGGAAAGCATCCAGTCTTTCACCATTAAATATGTAAGCTGTGGGTTCTTCCTAGATGGTCTTTATCTATCTGATGAAGTTCCCTTCGCTTCCTAGTTTTTTTTAATCATGAAAGGTATTGGATATTGTGCAATGATTTTTCCTGCATCTATTGATGATCATGTGGGGTTTTTTTCTTTATTCCATTGATATGGTGTATTATCTTGATTGATATTTGTATGTTGAACCAACCTTGCATTCCTGGAATAAACCTCACTGGGTTGTGGTATATAAACCTTTTTAGATGTTGATGGATTTGGTTTGCTAGTATTTTGTTGAGGATTTTGTATCTATCTTCATAAGAGACACTGGTATATAGTTTTCTTTTCTTGTGATGTCTTTGTTTGGCTTTGGTATCAGAGTAATACTGGGCTCATATAATAAATTGGGAAGTATTCTCTCCTCTTCTGGTTTTGTTTTTTTTTTTCGGAAGGGTGTGGAAGAGATTGGTGTTAATTCTCCTTTAAATACTTGGTAAAATTCATCAGCAAAGCCATATGATCTTGAGCTTTTCTTTGTGAAAAATTTTAAAAATTATTAATTTGATCTCTTGTTATATGTCTGCTGAGATTTTCTATTTCTTCTTGAGTCAATTTCAGGAATTTGCATCTTTCTAGGGGTTTGTCCATTTCCAGTAGGTCATCTAATTTGCTGTGTTACAGTTATTCACATTATACTTTTATAATTCTTTCTTATTTCTGTAAGGTCCAGTACTAATGTCTCCTTTTTCATTTCCATTTTTTAGTAATTTGAGTCTTTATTCTTTTCTTGTTGGTCTAGCTAAACATTTGCTAATTCTGGTCATCTTTTCAAAGACTTAACTATACTTTATTAGTTTATTAATAAGTATAATCATATTTAAGAAAAATATGATCAAGAAGCATAAGGTCATGAACATCTCATTACCTATACTGACTTTATCACTAAGAACATATTCATATTAATTGAACATGTTTAAGAAGATATTCCTTACAAACGCATTTTGAGTAAAGGAATCAACTTAGCAAGCTGAGTTTTTGGAAGTGTTAGGGAGACTGAGGAATGCAGCAATGAGACAGACAGATGGTGTCCTTGCCCTCAGAGCCTGCCAGTCTGGGAGACAGCCAAACCTGCATTTACCAGAGGCAGCATATGTACTGGCAGGGGAAGTACAGGCTGCTGCATGAGTCCACGGGGGTACTGGACCTGGTGAGCTGTCACTGGAGAGCCTGCGGTCTGGCTGTGCCACACCTCCACTGCTTCCCAGCCCTTTCTGGCTGTCTATACCAGGATCTGGGGAGGCTGGACAGACAGCTTGGTGAGCTCCTCAGGGCTCCATGGACATGGGGCTGGCAGGACTGTGGCATGAAATGAGGGCACATGGAGGTGGGTGAGATTGGGTGGTCTGGTTGGTGGCCAGAGGGCCGTGGGCTGAGTACCACTTTACCTCTAGTCCCTTCCTGCCTGGCACCCTCCAACTCTGGAGGGCAGTAGTGATACCAAGCATCCTGCCCTGGTAGATTAGGGGGCATGTCAATGCCCCCTGCATTCCACCAAACCTCCTGGAGGCAGGTGGGACATAGAAGGGAAACTGAGTCCCAGAGATGGATCAGATATACCCTAGGTGAGCTGGCCAAGCTCCCCAATGCCACGGCTAGTCCCTCTGGTACAGCAATGACACTTCTCTCCTTATGCTTCACAGCGTTTGAAAACAAGGCCCTGGACTCCAGCTGGTTTGGTGGGAAGAGGAGTGCCCTGCAGAGGCTCTATGACCTTGACCAGGTAGGTGGACAGACCCCTGCTCCAGGAGCCCCTCCCTTCCAGCCACAGGAACCCGAGCACCCCAATGCAGACCTGCTGTCATGACGCTGGACCCACAGTGGGGCATGGGGAGGCTCCCTCTGCCAATCTGCGCTCTGTCCAGAGAGGAGAATGCCTGGGGCTGTGACAAGGGCAAATCTTGGGGCTAAGTTGAGAGCCCTGTGGTCTTCACCCTCCCATCCACCCATCCATCCTCCACTCCACAGTAGAAGCCACACTCTGTGCCACACACTGCTCTACACCTTGCAGATATAAAGGAGAGTAAACACCCTGTACCTGCCCTCAGGGAGTTGATAATCTAGTGGGGAGACAGTAATGAAGTGAACCTCCAAATTTTAGTATTGGCTGCGATAGGAAGCATGCAGGGAGGCCCCACCCTGTGTCGCTCTCAAGCACACGGACCAGGCGGCTCACGGGCCCACATGCTCCATCCACTTCTGCTGTGGCCCCGCTGGCACCACACAGTGCCCCAGATGCACACACAGTCGTACTCCACTGAGAGCCACATGGCCCTGACTCACACACCCCAACAGGCACACTCAGAAGCACCCATTCAGGCAGCATGTGTTGGGCACCTACTGTGTACAGGTTGTGCTCAGGATACTGCGGATCCAGTGGCAAGCAGGTCACTGGGTCCCTGCCTCGTGGAGCTGACAGTCCCATGGGGGAGACACCTGATCCCCTCCTGCACTAACCTGTGACTAATTAGAGTCTAAAGGGAAGTACTGGGTGCAATGAAAGCTCCACAGGAGGGTCCTGGTTTAGATGGGGGAGAGACCCTCTGTGAGAAAGGGGCGTTGCAGCTGAAACCTGCAGAGGGAGAGTTAAGAAGTGAATAGTAGGGGTCGCGTGCCTGGCGGGGAGCGGAGGACAGAAGAGGGTGAGTGCAGTGAGCCAGAGGTGGGCAGCGGCCTGGCAGTGCCTGGCAGGTGGGGCAAGGGCAGTGGGGAGCTGTGAATTTTAGTCCAGGGAGAAGATCAGACGGGGGTTGGGAAGGTGACTGCTCACCACACCCCTGAGGGCTGAGCTGCAGGGGCCTGAGAAGCCCGTCTGGCCCACGCTCTTGGACTGCAGGTTGGGGAGGCCTGAGTTCTGCAAGCTGCGGGCAGGCCTGGCTGTGTTGGGAGGCCCGTAGCTGGTGTATTAAGTTAAATCGAGAATATGCAGATTATGGTCTGCTGAATGAGGAGGCACCAGCCACCCACGTGGGGTCAGCAGGTAGGTCCCTCCGCATCCGAGCTCCTACTTTGGGAAAGTGAAAACCCTGGGGTCCTTTTGATTAAAGGTGCAATTTCAGTACTCTCGCACAAAGGACGTGAAGTCACAAGAGTGAGTACTTGCAGATCTCAGAAATGGGGGGCGGTCCTCCATGCCAGGTCACGAGCGACCAGGAGACAGAGAGCAGGGCAGCAAGCACTGGTTACTTACAAGGTGCTTGGGGTCACTAGCTTTTTCCGGGCTCAACTCTAAGTGGTTATTTTAAAAGAGGCCCCAGGAAAAGCAAAGCAGGAGCTTGTGGCAGGGACGCGAAGCTCAGGTTGTTGACTGACTGTCCAGACGCCACCTGCGAGCAGGGGTCATGCTGAGAAATGCCAGGCAGCAGCTCACAGAGCTGCTTTCTCATCACAGCCTCTCAGCAGGGCCCCGGGTCCACCAGCTCCACAGGGTGCCGAGAGGCAGACGGGGCTGGCTCAGCCACTCCCAGCCGGAGGCTCCAGGGACGCGAAGGCTCTGGAAGCGAAGCACCTTGCAGCTGGAGAAATAGTAGCAATAAAAACCGTCTCCCGACAAGTGCTAACTGTCCCAGGCCCTCTAGTTCTGTGAACTCATTTAGTCCTCATGGCAACCCAACAAGGTGTGGCTGTTGCTGTCCCTGTTTACAGATGAGGAAACCAAGGCACAGGGAGGCTAAGGACGCTCAGAAGGTCACAGAGGCCATAGGGACTAGAGCCAGGCTAAGGATCCAAGCAGTGAGTGCAGCCAGCCTGGGAAGGATGAGGAGTGCGGCTGTGGGATTCAGCCCCAGACCAGCGGGCACAGCCCTGGCTTCTGAGTCCCAAGGGACCCAAGCTGGTGCCCCAGCTTCCTGACTTGAGAGCTGTAGGAAACTCATTTCCTCTGAGGCTGTTTGCTCACCCGTAAGAAACGGAGACAGCATTGACTGAGTTGGTATTCATGGGGCTACACGCAGCAGAAAAGCTGACTGAGGCCACTCTAAGCCATTAGCACAGTCAGTACTTCCTTCCCAAGATGCTCAGAGGCCAGCAGCCCCACAGCACGGCAGCAACACATCGCCCACCATCACCCTCTGGATGCTGACTTCTGTCCTACCCTTGTTGCCTCATCGCTGCAAGAAGACTGCCAGGGCTCTGGACATCTCTTCACGGGACAGCATCCCAAGCAGAAAGGGAGAGGGTGGGGCAAAGTGTTTTTCCCTTCAGGAGCCCTCACTTCACTCCTGATGAAAAGTCTTTCCTGGGAGCCATCCAGCAGACTTCCCCTTCTGTCTCCTTGGCCAGAACCAGGCCACATGCCACCCCTGGACCTGTCACTTTAGCGAAGGGGTGTGAGGCTGCCAGGACTGGCTCCTCCCTGAGGTGGGCACATGGCCTAACACAGCTGGGGGCTGCTGGCAAGGAAGCAGGGAGACTGACAGGTGGGCGGACAGCCACCAGTTCCTGCCACAAGAGACGTGTCGGGTTGTCTGGAGGCTGAGAGCAGCCCCTGGCTGTGGGGCGCCGGGTGCAGCCTTCTCCTCACACCCTCAGCGCCAGACTCCTGAGGCCACTTGTGTGAGTCAGTGAGCCCCTCAAGGGGTGGCAACGGGGTTCTCTGAGTGCCCTCGGACCCCACAGCCATGGCTGACCTTGGCAGCCACGCCCACGGTGAGGTTTTGAAAAAGCAATAGCAGCAAGTGCCAGGGCAGTCAGCCCTCCCAGAGCATCCCGCGAAGAGCACGCTCCCTCCCGCCAGGCCCTGTCACCCCTGTGCGTCCTTCCAGAAATGGGTCTGAGCACGTGTGCAGCCTCGACTGCGCCAGCATGTGCTTATGTGACCTTCTCAAAATCTTTACCTGCAGGGACGGGGGTCCTCTCTCTGCTTGAACTTTTCATTCTGAAGAATTCAGACATGCGCAGTAGAGAGAGCAGCACAGTGCAGCTTGCATTCCCGTACCCCGGTCTGAGTCTTGTTTCGTCTAGACCGCCCCCGCTCCCGCCTGGAGTTATTCTGAAGCAGACCCCAGCCTTGCTGACTCTGTGACTATTTCAATCTATCTCCCTACAGGAAAGACTCCCCACAGTCCTTCCTTCTGGAAACACTTTTTATTTACTTCACCCCTTTTAAACCCAAAGCGTGGCACAATACACCGCTTAACACACTTCCAAGTCCTGTCCTGTGCTTCAGCTTTTTCACTCAGTGTGCCTCGGGTGTCTGCGGACGCTTTCAAAGGCATCGGAAGCACCTGTGTGCACACCCACCGTCCGGCCCACCTCATGTTCTCCTGCCGGCGCTGGGTTGCTGTCCCACCATCGCAGACGCTGCTCTGACCTCCTCTGAAATGGAAACGCTGAAGGCTTCTTTCTTACCTGAGATATAACTCAGATACCATAAAATTCACTCCTTTAAAGCATACAATTCAGTGGGTTTTAGTATATTTACAAGTTTGCACAAGCATCACCACTATCTAATTCCAGAACATTTCATCAGCCCGAAAAGAGGCCCAGAACCCATTACAGTCACTCCCCATTCCCCCTCCCCCCAGCCCCTGCCAGCCACCAATCTGCTTTCTGTCTCTATGGGGCTATTCTAGGCATTTCATATAAATGGAATCATACAACCTGTGGCCTTTTGTGGCTGGCGTATTTCACTAAGCATAATGTCTTCCAGGTTCTTCCATGTTGTAGCATGTGTCAGAACTTCATTCCTTTTCATGGCTGAATAATATTCCACTGTATGGATGCACTATATACTGTTTATCTGCTCATCAGTGGATGGACATTTGGGTTGTTCCCACTCTTTGGCCATTATGAAGAACGCTGCTGTGAACACTGGACAGGTTTTTGCATGATGTCTGTTTTTAGTTATCTTGGGGATCTACCTAAGAGTGGAATTGCTGGATCATATGCCTACTTTTTTGAGGAGCTGCCAAACTGCTCTCCACAGCAGCTGCACCATCTTACATTCCAGGAGCAAGGAGCGAAGGTTCAACTTTCTCCACATCCTCGCCAACATTTACTGTCTTTTTTTATTATATCCTAAAGGCTTTTTTAATGCAACTTTGAGAAACTGAAACACTGTCTCCTAAGAACTCAGACTACTAACACCAAGGGGAGGAGGTGGGGGGTCTGGAGTGTTAGTCTTGGAAGTGGTGACCCTATTTAGGGCAGAAAAGACTTGAAGAAAGGGAGAGAGGAGCCTGGAGGTGGTGGCCTAGGTCTCGCAGAGCCCAGGCAGGCAGGGAGGGCGGGCCTGGGTATCCTCCTACGATTACCGACTACAACGAGCTGTGCAGCGCATAGCCGGCGCTGGGCACCTTGTGAGGGCTCCCGTCACTTCACAGAGAAGGGACGGGCCCAGAGACAGCAAGCTTCCTGTTCAAGCACTGAGATTAGAATTTGTTGGGGGGCAGAAAAAGAAATCAAGACCCAAAGGAACATGCCAATTCATAAATATTAAATTAGCTAATTTTATTATTCAACAAAAAATATCCTGATAGCCTGCAAGTAGCTGCAGTTTTCAACTCTACCGATGCGGAATTAAAGCTACCCTTCTTAGACACTGTCCTACTTCTAGTCAACACTGAGCAGATATTTCACCGGCGCCAGCGGTTAGCACGCCAAAGTCATTCTTCTTTATCAGGCCTCCTCTGACCTTGTCACGTTCGTTATCAGGACCCCCTCAGTGCTGAGTGCCCAAGAGGTGATCAGTCACATCCTTCCACGTGCCTCGGCAAGCTTAGACTCATTTCCCCCCCAATCAAGGTCCAGGACGCGCACGCCTGGGCCCTAAGCCACACAGCGATGGGCGGCAGCGCTGGGCTGCGGGCACAGGTCTCCTGCCTGCCGCCGGCCCCGGCACTGCCGCGAGTCCCTGACCCGCCCCCTGTCGCCCGCAGGGCCCGCTCTCCGCCCTGGCCGAGGTGCACCGGCAGCGGCGCGACCTGCTGCGCCGCGCCTGCAGCCGCCACACGCGCCGGCAGCGCCTGCTGCGGCCGGAGGACCTGCGGCACGTGCTGGTGGACGACGCGCACGGCCTGCTCTACTGCTACGTGCCCAAGGTGGCCTGCACCAACTGGAAGCGCGTGCTGCTGGCGCTGGGCGGCCGCGCCCGCGGAGACCCGCGCGCCATCCCCGCGCACGAGGCGCACGCGCCGGGCCGCCTGCGCTCGCTGGCCGACTTCAGCCCGGCCGAGATCAACCGGCGCCTGCGCGCCTACCTGGCCTTCCTCTTCGTGCGCGAGCCCTTCGAGCGCCTGGCCTCGGCCTACCGCAGCAAGCTGGCGCGGCCCTACAGCGCGGCCTTCCAGCGGCGCTACGGCGCGCGCATCGTGCGGCGCCTGCGGCCGCGCCCGGCCCCCGACGCGCTGGCCCGCGGCCACGACGTGCGCTTCGCCGAGTTCCTGGCCTACCTGCTGGACCCGCGCACGCGCCGCGACGAGCCCTTCAACGAGCACTGGGAGCGCGCGCACGCGCTCTGCCACCCGTGCCGCCTGCGCTACGACGTGGTGGGCAAGTTCGAGACGCTGGCCGAGGACGCCGCCTTCGTGCTGGGCCTGGCGGGCGCGCCCGGCCTGCGCTTCCCCGCGCCGCCGCCCCGGGCCCCGGCGGCCGCCGCGCGCGACCAGGCGGCGCGCCTCTTCCGGGACATCAGCCCCTTCTACCAGCGGCGGCTCTTCGGCCTCTACCGCATGGACTTCCTGCTCTTCAACTACTCCGCGCCCGCCTACCTGCGGCTGCGCTAGCCCGCAGCGCGCGCTCCCCGCCGAGGCCCCGCGGTCTGCGCTCGGGCCGCGGCTGTGCGTTTCTAACGAGCCCCGAGATGCTGGTGCTGCCGCTCCGGCGCTGCGCTCCGAGACCCGCGCCCGCGCCCTCGTGGGCCTGGGCCGCCCTCACGCCGGCCGGGCTTGCGGGCCCCCCAGGTCAGGTGGGCGGCTGAGCACCTGTGCGCCCCCGACCGCCGACCCTGCCTGGTGCTAGGTGCTTCCTTCCTCTGCCTGCTCCGGCGGGCAGCGCCTCCCCTGGCTGGGTGGGGACTGGCTAATAGTTTTTTAGGTTGTGAGAGGCCATTCTTTTTGGTCAGCTCTGCCGCCCAACCTGTCTGCGGCGTAAAAGAGTGGAATGCTGGCTTGGTGCAGACTGTGGCCCATCCCAGTGCCTTCCTCACCTCACCCACCCTGGAAAGGACAGCCCTGGCCAGGGAGAGAAGCCCTCCCTGACTGCATTCGGGCGGGGCCGTCCTTGCTGAGGGGCACAGGTCAGGCGCCAGCCGTGAGCCGCCTTCCACTCTGCCTGTGGCTGCCCCGCCGCGGCCCCAGGTGTCAGTCTGGCCAGATGCTTGGTCGTCTGTGTGCCCACAGAGCCCAGGGTGCGGTGCTGTGGCAGGTTTCATAGGACCTTGGAGAGCTGGGGAGCTCCTGTTTTTGAAATAAATGTGTTTTGTTGCTTTCTGACATTTTGGAGTTTCTCCGCTTCATTTTGCCATTTGCTCTGGAGGCCCGGGGCTGTCTGATCTTACCAACTCATTGAGTCTCTGAGCCTCGGTTTCACTTGCCGCCAAATGGCATAAGAGTGCCAGGGGGTCGTGAAGATCAGATGAGAGGAGAGCCGTGGTTACCGTCCCCGCTGCCCACGGGTGTGAGGGGCCACGTGGGGAGTGGGGTAAGGAGGGGATGCACCTTGCGGGGAGGGGGTGCCAAATTCTGCCTCGAGGTGTTACAGGCTCTTAACATCAGCCCTGATATCAGTTCCCCCACATTGAACCCAGCGTATATGGGGTTAAAACTAAAACCCACCACCCCCTTTCCTGCTTCTCTAGCTCCACTCATATGTAAATACCTGTTTCTTTAAACTTGGACCCTTTGAGCTTTACAACTAAATGGGAGTTACAAATTGTTAAAAGCCCAGGTGGCCTGGAGTTGGAGGCACACTAAAGTTTAGCTAGTCATGTGTCCTTGAGTTTGCCAGGAAAGCTGCTGTCTCAAGAGTATCAAGGAGCGGAGGCTTCCCAGACCTAAACTCCCAGACCCCTGGCGCTGGAACCGCCTCAAACAGGAAGATGAGACAATGGCGAAGGATGCCCACCTGC